GGTTTGAACTGCTGACCTTGTGGTTTGCAGTCCAGTGTTGATCCTACTGCATCACACCAGGAGTCCTATATGTATATACTGTTGTTGTGAAGTGCCGTTGAGTTGGTTCTGACCCATAGCAACCCTGCATAGGGTTTCCAGGGAGCAGCTGGTGAGCTTGAACTGCCAACCTTGCGGTTCAAATTGCTTTGCTGTCTGGTGCATTAACTCACAGTGCTACATATACTAGCAACAGTAAAATAAGCAAATCTACCTTATAAGAGATACAGCCAGAATGGTCCTCAGAAGTTAGAATGGAGAGACTTTTTCTTCACGTACTTTAGACATGCTATCAGGTGGGACCAGTTCCTGGAAAAGAACACGTTTGGTAAAGTAGAGGGTCATCAAAAAAGAGGAAGGCCCTTAAGACAATGGACTTATACAGTGGCTGCAACAATGGACTCAAACATAACAATTGTTAGGATGGTTCAGGACCAGCAGTTCTGTTGTTCATAGGGTCACTATGCGTTGGAACCAACTTGACAGCACTTAATCACAACAGAAGTTGAAAATGTAATATCAAATATATTATGTTTCTATTGAGGGGAAATTAAACATTTTTGAGAGACAATAAAGATGATAAATGAAGTGGTATCCATGGAAGACTCCAAGATGTTCATTCCCAAAATTCAAATACATTTTGGTGTTGTTTTTGTCAGGAAGGTGTCAAAATTGACAGGTTTATTCTAAGAACCAAGTACAGCCAAGTCATTCCTGATTTGTCCACAATTTGTCAAGACTTATTATAAAGCTACAGCTATAAAGACAACAAAGTCTCAATGCAAGGATGTGTAAACAAACCAAAGGAACAGAATGATGAGCTCAGAAACTGACCCATGCGTAACTGGACTCCCTCCCACTTTTTTTTTTTACACTATGGTGCAAGATATAAAGTATGGTCTACTCATGAATATTGCTTGGATCAATTAATGAATATGGCAGACAACGATATTGAAAACTGAGTAAAAGCTTGACCAGTAACTCCACAGGAGAGGAAACAGAAGTGGCCAAAACAGTTGGAAGAGGAGCTTCCCTATAACAGTTGTGAGGTCAATGTACAAGAAAGTCATGTAGAGGTGGCTGAGACTTAGCACATCTGGTACTAAGAGTAGGCTCAGCCATGAAGTACCAGCACACAGTCCTTTCTGAGAGCAATGTGTGCCTAGGAGCAGTCTCACAAAGTGTCCCATCTGGAAACATCCACATGTCATAAGTGGTAGGAGGTATAAATACATTGCCGTGAGTTGCTGCTTAGAAAGGCCTGGGACCTCTCCAGGTCACAGAGCTAGAAGCAGAGCCTGGAGTAGCTTATGTATCTCATGGGTCACACCCAGGCCTCCTTTGTCAAGTGCTAGCTTCCTGACTGAGGTAACTCTGGTAGCATAGTGGTTACAAATCGGGCTGTGAGCCTTAAGATCAACAGTTCGAAACTACCAGCTGCTCCGTGGGAGAAAGATGAGGCTTTCTGCTCCTGTAAAGATTTACAGCCTCGGAAACCCTGTACAGGGTCGCTATGGGTCAGAACCGACTCCACGGCACTTAACAGCAACAGCATTTTCCTGACTGAGTCCTGGTGTTACACTGAGGATTAATGCACTGGATTACAAGGCAGGTCTGTTTGAACCGTGAATTCGGCGGTTCAAGCTCACCAGGAGCTCTTCCGAAATCCTATACAGGGTTGCACTTAACAGCACTTAACAACAACAATCTTCTTGAGTTAGATGGTGTTTCTGACTGTGTGTCTCTTTTTTGTCTCCAGAGCCCACGGCAGTGTTTGCCAAGGAGCAGCAAACACAGAACAATGTGAAGGCCGAGGTGGGGGCCAGTGCCACGCTGAGCTGTGAGGTGGCTCAGGCTCAGACGGAGGTGGTGTGGTACAAGAACGGGAAGAAGTTGAGTGCAAGCTCAAGGATGCGTGTGGAGGCCACGGGCTGTGGGCGGCAGCTGGTTGTGCAGCAGACGGGCAAGGCAGATGCTGGGGAGTACACCTGTGAGGCTGGGGGCCAGAAGGTCTCCTTCCATCTGGATGTCACAGGTGGGTTCCTGAGACTCCTGGTTCTTCCTGGAAAGCATGACAAGGCAGTGGTTAGTGGAAGGTGCCATCTTGTGTCCTGTTTTCTCACAAACTTCCCAGCATAACATGTTGAGTTCAAAGCTATCTATAGAGTGCTTAATTTCAGTTCTTGTATTTTCAAGTCCTATAAATTCCATTTGATTAATTTTATAATGTCTAATTTTCTAGTGAAATTTTCGTTATTTGATCTAGATATTTCCTCCAATAAAACCAATTAATGGTGGCTATACTCTAGTCTGAAAACTATAATATCTATTTCAATTGATAGTATAGTTTATTTTGATTTCTAATATTTGCTCCTGTAGTTGGCATGTCTGCAAATTAATCGTCAGAGGCTATATGTTAAAATTGTTGAATATGATTGATGGTGTGGTGCTGTAGGATAAGCACTGGACCACAAGATCAGTTTGAACTGCAGTGTCAGCATCACTTAACAACAACAATTGTTTATAAGGGTGGGAAATGTCTGGTCCACAGACTGTATGAAGCCCTTGAAATCATTTGATCTGGCCCTGCCAAGGCATCCGCAGTTCCAGCCATCACACTGTTGTTGTTGTTAAGTGCTGTCGAGTCAGTTCCAACTCATAGCGACCCTGTATAGAGTTTCCCAGGAGTGGCTGGTGAGCTTGAACCACTGACCTTGTGGTTCAAACTGACCTTGCAGTCCAGTGTGCATTAACTTGCAGTGCCACACCAGGATATCACATTGGTGGGGGTGGTTATGTGCTGTGGAGCCGGTTCCGACTCATAGCGACCCTGTATAGAGTTTCCCAGGAGTGGCTGGTGAGCTTGAACCACTGACCTTGTGGTTCAAACTGACCTTGCAGTCCAGTGTGCATTAACTCGCAGTGCCACACCAGGATATCACATTGGTGGGGGTGGTTATGTGCTGTGGAGCCGGTTCCGACTCATAGCGACCCTGTAGGGGGGAGTTAATTAAATGTTTGACCAAATATAGCAGGTTGATTTCTAAATGGATAAGTTTGTATTGTTGTTAAGTGCCATGGAGTCAGTTCCAACTCATAGTGACCCTACACAGGGTTTCCGAGGCTGTAAATCTTTACGGGAGCAGACCGCTTCATCTTTCTCCCGCGGAACCGCTGGTAGTTTCGAACTGCTGGTCTTGTGGCTCGCAGCCTGGTAGTGTAGTAGTTACGAATCGGGCTGCGAACTTTAAGGTCACGGTTCGAAACTACCAGCTGCTCCATGGGAGAAAGATGAGGCTTTCTACTCCCGTAAAGATTTACACCCTCGGAAACCCTGTACAGGGTCGCTATGGGTCAGAACTGACTCGACAACACTTAACAATAACAACAAATTTGTTTGGCCCATGAATGATGTTATAAATTTTGGCAGAAAAAGGTCTCTCACCCTTAGGATTCACTTTATCTTTTGCTACATAAATTCACTAGATAAAATAGGAGTTCTGGTATGACACTGTAGGATAAGAACTGGATCGCAAGATCGGTTTGAACCTCAAGGTTGATGGCTCAAACTCACCATGTGCTCCTTGCAAACCCTATACAGGATCGCTATGGGTGGGAACAGACTCAACGGCACTTAACAACAACAAACAACCTTAATTCCTTCTAGGACTGAGCGAACTTGAGACTTAGTAGACATTTTGATAAGGGTCATCTGTCTCTGGTTCTTCTTCACTCCAGGGCAGTCTTCCAGGAATTCCTTCTAAGAGCTTAGGATGTGACTTGGGTATCCTCGCCTAGTAGACCCTGAAGTTTCATGTTTGTCTCTTTAGAGCTATAAGATGCTGAAAAGTCTTCTTTGCTTTTCAGAGGTTTGCTCCTGGCTTCTTATCCTTCTGTCCCATACAGCTTCAGACCCCATTGAGCATTTTGAAGGGAATGGGGTTTTGTCTCCTCAGTGTATAACCTTTATCTCACCAGTCCCTCCAGATGTTAAAAACTCTTCAGGCTTTTCTCTTTTTTCATAACAGCCCTTTCACCAAATTTGCAGTGTATTTTCCCCATTTCTAGAAGCAGCAAGCTCCATGAGGGGAATGGCAGATGCCTACAGCGGGCTCACATTTTTTAATGGCTCCCTCCTTTTAGGGATTTTGCCACCTCAATCCAGGCTGCTCTTCTCTGCAGTTCAAGGAGTTTGCCAGCCTTGCTCTCTTTGCATATTCCTTTGAAGGGCTCTGGCCTAAGAGTCATCTCCATTAGAATGCTTCTTCCTTAGCTCCTCATAGGGCTGTTGGTGTTGTTAAATATCTTCAAGTGGCTTCTGAGGCTTAGTGACCCTGTATAGGCTTTCTGAGGAAATGCTTATCCTACACCAAGAATGGCTCCCTCTTATCTTTGTTGTTGTTAAGTGCCTTCGGGTCGATTCTGACCCATAGCAACCCTGTATAGGGTTTCCGAGGAGCAGCTGGTGAGCTTGAACTGCCAACCTTGCAGTTCAAAAGGCTTTGCAGTCTGGCACATTAACCCACAGCACCACACCAGGACTCCCTCTTATCTTTAGGAACCAGTTTAAATACCACTCTTCAGTGAGTTCTTCCCAGACCCGGAATCTAAAGTTGCTTTTTAGTCCCCTCTCTTTAGCACATTTCCCTGTTTTATTTCATCACAGCAGTTACTCTAGCAGTGCATGATTATTTTCATGATTATATTTATTTCTCTTCCTTTATTGATTAGAAGGTAAGCTTCATAAGAGCGGCGGAATTATCTGTCATGTCCCCTGAAACATCTCTAGGGCCACTCCGTAGTAAGCCCTCCCTTTACAATGATTGAATGATCTATACTTTGGAAACTCTAAGATCATATATGTATGCATTATAGTTCAATGGAAAATATACATTAAAAATCAATAATATCAAGTGTTGGTAAGGATGTGGAATGATTAGAACTCTCACATAGCTTATGTTATAGCAATTTTGGACAAATATTTGGTAATATGTATGATGTGCCTCTGTGGGCAAATGCATCAGGCTGCAAAGTCATTTGAACTACAAGGTCAGTGGTTCAAACTCACCAGCTGCTCCTTGGAAATCCTAAACAGGGTCGCTATGGGTCGGAATTGACTCGATGGCACTAAAAAACAGCAACAACATATATTGAATCCTAACATCTGTTCTAACATTTTCATATGCCTGCCAGTGATATATTCAAGAATATTCAAAGAAGCTTTATTTATAGAATCATCAAATTGAAGCAACATAAATGATCATTAAGAATAAAAGGAAAAGCCAATTGTGTTGTATTCATACCATGGACGCCTATATAGTAATAGAAAAGAGTGAACTGCAACTATATGCAACAACAAAAATTTTTTATAAACATGCTGATTGAAAAAAAGGAAAACCAAAGAGAGTATATATTGTACAATTCTATTCATGTGGGATTCACGAATTTGCTGTTTTTAGTTGTCTAGTTGACTGTGACTCATGGCGAATTAGAAATGGGTAAAAGTAATTTATGGTGATATACTTAGAATGTTGGTTCCCTTTGGAGGGAGGTCAGTGGTGAGTGTAGAGACAGAAATGGCTTATTTTTGGTATGTGATGGTTACATGGGGATATGTATACGTAAAGTTTATTAAGCTGTAAACTAGAATTAGAGTACCACAGGTAAGTAATACTTTGGTAAACATGTGGAGCAGGCTTATGGAAAATATAGCATGTACTGTATACTTTGGAAAACTAGTGAACAAGACTGCCTTGTCCATGCAGTGCTGACTGTCACATGGGAAAAACAATGAACTAGCAATTAAGTTGTGGAAACACCTGCAGCCACTGTCCTGCAGCCTTTGGGATTACTTTTTATTTAGGACATACCCAAATTGTAGTTCTGTGACAGGGGTCCTTGTGTTTATGAACTGACATCTACCAGTCCACAGGGCCCATGACATCACAGGATTCAGGGGGGAAATGTATTGAACTCTGATGCTTCCGTGTCTGTGAAATGGGTTGGTATGAGGTCTGCATCTCTGACTCCGTGTTCCTCCTTGTTCCCAGAGCCAGCAGTGGTATTTGCCAAGGAACAATCAGTACAAAGTGAAGTGCGAGCTGAGGCAGGGGCCAGTGCCACACTGAGCTGTGAGGTGACCCAGGCTGAGACAGAGGTGGCGTGGTACAAGGATGGGAAGAAGCTGATTGGGAACTCCAGGGTGCACATGGAGGCCACAGGCTGTGAGCGGCGGCTGGTGGTGAAGCAGGCGGGCAAAGCAGACGTTGGGGAGTACATCTGTGAGGCCGGGGGCCAGAAGGTCTCCTTCCACCTTGATGTCACAGGTGGGTCCTCTGGGGGTGGTAACAGCTTTATTTTCAGGTGGTGAAGTGACTGATTTATTACCCCAACAGATCTTTGTGCTTAGATTTTGTGTCTTTGTATTGCCCATTTTCACACCTTGTTAATTTTTTGTCCAAGGTTGGGACCACAGAGGCTGGTTGGGAGCTGTATGCAACACAGTGAGAGGGGCCATTCTTCCTCTCAAGTGGTGCTTCCAGGCTGGAATGCTTAGTTGCAGGCTAAACCACTGAGAATCTTGCCCCAGCCAAGTTGATATGAAACTTTAACTATCACATATCTCCAACTCATTTTATGTTGTGAGCATAACATCAATACCAAATTTGACAAGGTCAGTGTGAAGAATTAAAATTACAGGCCAATCTCTTACTAATATCAAAGTAAAAATCCTAAACAAAATATTAGTAATGAGAATCCATCAATGTATCAAGAGGATCATTCACATAATGGCCAACGAGAGTTTTACAATGAGAGGAATGCAAGGTTGGTTAGCATTACAAACATTAGAAAGTTAATATAATCCATGGCACAGATTAATAGAAACGAGTCATGTGATTATCTCAATAAATGGAGAAAAAGGTGATAAAATTTGACATCATAAATGCAGAATAATTTATTGAAATTTAGAATGCATGCATGATAAAAATTTTTAGCATGAGGAATAAAAGATTATTTCCATATTCTGATAAAGGATACTACATAAAACATCAGCTAATATCACACTTGGACTTCTGGTGACACTATAGGATAAGCAGTGGTCTTTGAACCACAATCTCACTGGTTCAAACCCACTAGCTACTGCTCAGAAACCCTATACAGGGTTGCCATATAGACTTGACGACACTTAACACAGCAATAAAAACAATGATACACTTAAAATAAAACCTTGACTGCTTTGCCTTTGGGATTGCTAACAACACAAGGAAACATACTGTCTCTACTTCTGTCTAATATTGTACAACCCAGAAATGGGGAAAATAAGATGAAAGGTACAAAATTTGGGAAAAAACAAACATGTCATTCACAGGCGATACAAATATAAATCTAGAAAATCAAGAAGATAAATTATTAGAGTAGTAAGAGTTGCCATACACACACAAAAATATATACAACACATTCTATAAGCTGTGTATAAAGAGTTTGGAAAATGAAACCTGAAAAGATTTATAATAGCATCAAAAGTAGAGAGTTCTGGTGTGGTGATGTAGGATAAGCACTAGACAAAGGGATCAGTTTGAACAGCAAGGTCAATGATTCAAATCCATCAGCTACTCCTTGGAAACTCTATATATTGTCACTATGAGTCAGAACTGACTCAATGTCACTTAACAGCAATAACAGCATCAAAAGCATCAGGTGTCTAATTTGAAATCTAATTTGAAATAAAAGATGTTAAAGGCTTCTCTGGGGGAAATTATTAAGCATGTTTGGCCACAGACTATCTAAGGAACTGGAGTAGTATCTCTGGAAGACTTGATAGATGTTCAATAAAAATCCAAACAGATTTTCTTTTTTTCCCAGAAGGGAGTGTGAAAATTGATAGGCTGATTATAAAATACAGCCATGTCACTCTTGAAGAAGAACAAAGTGAGGGCATTTGCTTTGCCAGATACCAAGACGTATGAAAACTACAGGAATCAAGACTGCAGGGTTTCAGTGTAAGGATAGATTGTCTGTTCACCTACTAATGGTACAGACTGGTGAGCTCAGAGACAGACCAGTGCATAATTGACCTCTGGCCCACTCCCACTTTTCAATACTGGGGCACCTGTGCGAAGAGTGGAAAGGATGATCTTTTCATAAATGGTGCTTGAACAATTTAAACTTGTAGGAAAAATTAAACTGGACCTCTATCTCTGCTGAGTTTGTTTCTAGTTGCTTTGTTCTGTATTAAAAATGGTGTATTAAAATTTGCTGATGTGGCAGTGTAGGATAAGCACTGGACTGCAAACCACAAAGTTGGTGGTTCAAACTCACCAGCTGCTCCTCAGGAACCTTGGACAGGGTCACTATGAGTCAGAATTGACTCAATGGCACTTAACACCAACAACAGTATTATTATAGAGTTGTCTATTTCTTCAGTTCTATTAGAGTTTGATTTGTGTGTCTTGAAGCTTGTTCATTGGGGATACAGATATTAAGGATATCATGTTTGCTAAGGTAGAGGGTCAGAGAAAAAGAGGAAGACCCCCAATGAGATGGACTGGCCAAGTGGCAGCATCGATGAACTCAAGCGTGGCAACAGTAGTGAGGTTGGCCCAGGATTGTTTCGTTCTGCTGTGCATAGGGTCGCTATGAGTCGGCACCTAACAACAACAAATGTACTCTTGTACAATTGGCCTTTTAATCATGATATAGTGTCCTTTGTCTCTTATGCTGGTTTTTGCTTTGAAGTCTCTATTTTATCAAAGATGAAAATTGCCACATCTGCTCACTTTTGATTGCCATTAGCTTCATCTATTTTCCATCAATTGATTTTTAGTTTATTTCTGTCTTTGTGTGTAAGATGTAGCTCTTGTAAACAGCAGACTGGAAGATCCTGTTTCTTAATCCATTCTGCTACTTTCTATTTCTTGAATGGCGAATTTAATCCATTTACATGCAGTGTAATTATAGATGGGTATGAATTGATTGCTGTGTGTGTTTTTGTGGTGTTGCTGGTTTCTTCAACATAGTTTTCTCTGCTGAGTTCATTTTGTTTTTGGGTTTTCTTTTAATTTTCATTTCTGTTATGTTAATGCTTACTAAATCATTCTGACTTCCCTCTTTTTTGATGTGAAAGTGCATTAATTTTCTTTTAGGTTACCTTGTAATTTGTTGATCCCCCCCCCCCATATAAAAATGTCTGTTTTATCTTAAAACCTATTTGACTTCCTCGCCATTTGTAAGTTCTGTATCTATAGTTTTCTCTCTTTTTGATTTGTAGCTGACTTCATTATAAATTGATCTCTGTGTTTCCCTATTTTCAGTCTTGTGAATTCCTTTTACTTTTAATACTTCCATATCTGGATTGAGTTCTGGGTGGTGCTGTCATGCATAGAAATCTCAGCTTGTTGTGCTGTTGTTATTTCTCATTCCAAAGAGCATCCTTTAGTATTATTTGTAAAGTTGGTTTGGTTATTGTAAATTCTTTCTTTTCTATTTATCTGGAAATGTCCTAATTTTGCCATTGTATTCGAAGGACAACATTGCTAGATATTTGATGCTTGGCTGCAGTTTTTTTCTTTCAGAGTTTTGTATATGTCATCCCATTGCCTTCTTGCCTGCATGGCTTCTGCTGAGAGATCAGAGCTTAGTCTTACTGGTTCTCCTTTGTAGGTAACTTTTCATTTTTCCTGAGCTACCCTCAGGATTCTTTCCTTGTCTTTGGTTTTGGAAAGTTTGGTTGTATGTCTTGGTGATTTTCTTTTGGGATCTATTCTGTTTGGGGTTTATTCAGCGTCTTGTATGCTTATCTTCTCATCTTGCATAATGTTAGGGTTGTTTTCTTCCAACAATTCTCCAAAATTTTTCTCTGTGCTTTTTATTGTTTCTTTCTGTTCCAGAATTCCAATCACTTGTAAGTTATTCCTCTTCATGGTGTCCCACATAACTCTTAGTCTTTCTTTGGAGTTTTTCATTATTTTTTCTGATTGTTCTTCTAGCACATTAGCATTGAGAGATTTATCTTCAAGTTCACTAAAATGGCCTTCCATTGCTTCAAATCAATTCCTTTGTCCTTTCAATATAGTGTCCATCTCTGAGGTCTTTGTACTAATCTGCTGGATTTCTAATTGCAGGCTTCAGATTGTTTTAAATTTTGCATTTATTTTATCTGTGTTTTTTTTTCTTCTTCTTCATGTAGTGTTTTCCTGAGTTCTAAAGTTTTTTTTCTGTGTTCTCCTTGCTTTCCTCGATCTTTCTGTCAATCCTTTGAAGGTACCTAAATATCATTCTTTTGAATTCTTCTTTAGCTAGTTCTATTATCTTTTCTTCCTCAGAAAAGTTTTCAGGCTCTGCATCTTGGTTATTCTCTAGTTTTTAGTTATTTAGTTGTATTTTATTATTTTTATTTAGTTATTCTTGTTTCTTTGTGCAAGCTGAAATTGTCTGTTTTCTCCAGGACAGTAATTTCTGTTTACGTAATGATTGTTTGTTAATGTGTTCTTAGCCTCTCAGCAACTGTCTCCTATACATGTAGCTAGAAAATGGATGCATGTACACCATTCTCTGTTTGCTGTTCCTGCACCTCACTGTAAGGTGGGTTTGCTGCTACTTTATTGTTGATCAGGTCATATAGGAGCTGGTATTGGCTCTTGCCCAGTGGGTGGAGTTGAAGATGGTATGGTTGCAGCTGGGCTGTTATGGGTAGAGTTGTTGTCTTTTGTGGAGTGGGAAAGAGGCGAACTCTCTCCCACTACACACACACAATAAAACAAAGCATAATAAACAATGAAATAAGAAAATAATAAAAGATAAGAAAGAAATTAAAACAAGTGTCAACCAGAAAAAAGAATAACTAAAAACAGAAAAGAAAATGGAGCTCTCTAAGAGAAAAATAAGTGAATAAAATAAAAGGAAAATTAAAAAACAAAAACAAAAACAACTTAGAAAAACCAGGGAAAGGAAAGATGAAAAGAGAAAGAGAGTAAAGAGTTGTAGAGAATGATCAAAAAGAAAGAAAAAGAAGGGAAATAGAAGAAAAAAGGGAGCTAGAAAGGAAAGAAATTCAAGGATATGGAAAGAAATGGGGAAGGAGAAGAAAGAATAAACAAAAACAAGGAAAGAATAAAATAAAACAAAAAAGGAGTGCAGCGATTGGCTCTGCCAACTTGGGGGTACTCTTGCCAGCTAAGGAGCTCACAAAGTGGATGCAGAAGAGATACGACAGAGGAATTCTAGGCTCTAGATGGAGTTCCTGTAGGTCGAGGTGTTATATTCATGGCACTCCATCCAGACTTAATTTGTAGAGGCCCTTAATGGAGCTAGTTTCAGTGTCTGTTAGGACCAAAGGGCAGCTGGGGGCATGATGGCAACCGATGAGGGTTTCTGCTAGACTAATGCTGGTCTGGTGATTTTGTGAGTTCTGTAAGTCTGGAGCCAAGTCCCCTTAAATCCATTGGACCTCTATCTCAAAGCACACTAAGAAACAACTTCAGGTAGATTAATGGTGTAAGGCAAAGCCATAAACCTTTGAAGTGGTTGTTGTTGTGGTTACCATGGAGTTGGTTCCACTCAAAGTGACCCTGAACAGGGTTTCCGAGGCTGTAAATCTTTATGGGAGCAGAAAGCCTCATCTTTCTCCCGTGGAATGGTTGGTAGTTTCGAACTGCCGACCTTGAGATTAGCAGCCTTATTCGTAACCACTATGCTACCAGAGCTCTTTTTTTTTAAGTGGTAGCATAGTTTATTTAATGACTTTAAGGTAAGGAAGAATTTCTTAAATAGAGACTAATGCATTAACTCTAAAAGATAAGATTCAGATACTTCACTACATTAGAACTTTAGTTTATCAGAAGACAAGCTAGCTACACAGATGATGGAAGATATTCATGATACACATAATTGAGAAGAGCATTTAAATAATATAAAGAACTCCTAAAAATGACTATGACACAGAAAATTGGGTAAACACTTGGGCAGTGACACTGCAGGCTATAACACAGAAATGGACAATAAACTTTGAAAAGGAGCTTCTATGTAATGGTCATCAGGCCAATGCACATGAAAGCCACGGGGAGGTAGAGCCACACACCAAGCAGATGGCAAGAGTACAGATGTACTAAGCGTAGGTAGTGGAGCACCAGGAACTCCCCAGCACTGCTGGTGGGAATGTTCTTGGCACAGCATTTTGGAAAAGCCTCTCATGCTCTCTGGTAGGTTGAAGGTGTACAGGCATTCTGACCCCACAGTCCTCTCCTAGAGCAATATGTGCACAGAAGCAATCTCACAAAAGGTCCCACCAGAAAACAACCCTCGTGCCATGAGTGGTCTGTTGTTAAGGGCCGTCGAGTTGGTTCTGACTCATAGCAACCCTATATAGGGTTTCTGAGGAGTGGCTGGTGAGTCTGACTGCTGATCCTGTGGTTCAAACTGACCTTGTGGTCCAGTACATATCCTACATTGCCACACCAGTGGTTGTTGTTCTTGTTGATGTTGTTAAGTGCCACCAGAGATATTAATGCACTGAGGCCTTGGGCTCCTCCAGGTCCCAGAGTTAGAGGAAGAGCCTGGAGTAGCTCCTGGATCTTCTGGCTCCTGTCCAGGCCTTGTGTGCCTAGTGCTGTCTTCCTAACTTTGATGGTTTCTCTGACCTCATGTTCCTATCGCCAGAACCCACGGTGGTGTTTGCCAAGGAGCAACCCGTACAGAATGAGGTGCGGGCTGAGGCAGGGACCAGTGCCATGCTGAGCTGCGAGGTGGCCCAGACCCAGACAGAGGTGACCTGGTACAAGGATGGGAGGAAGCTGAGCTCAAGCTCAAGGATTCGAATGGAGGCCACAGGGTGTGGACGGCGACTGGTTGTGCAGCAGGCGGGCAAAGCAGATGCTGGGGAGTACAGCTGTGAGGCCGGGGGCCAGAAGGTCTCCTTCCGCCTGGATGTCACAGGTGGGTGCCTGGGTTGGGTAAGAGGCAGAAGACATGGCAGATTCATGGGGTTGTAGTTATAGTTGTTAAGTGCTGTCAAGTTGGTTCTGACTCGCAGCAACCCTATATAGGGTTTCCAAGGCTGTAAATGTTTGTGGAAGCAGAAAGACATATCTTTTTCTTGTACTTTCACAGTTTGTTGTTGTTAGGTGCCATTGAGTTGGTACCAACTCATAGCAACCTTATGCACAACAGAATGAAACACTGCCTGGTCCTGGGCCAACTTCACAATTGCTGCCACTTTGCCAGTCCACCTCACTGGGGGTCTTCCTCTTTTTCTCTGACCCTCCATCTTACAAAACATGATATCCTTTTCCAGTGACTGGTCCCTCCTGACAATATGTCCGAAATATGAGAGATGAAGTTTGGCCATCTTGGCCTCTAAGGAGCACTCTGGCTGCACTTCTTCCAACACAGATCCACCACTCATCTGTCAGTTTGTCATGCTGTGGTGGCTTGTAATTTGCTGTGATTCTGGAAGCTATGCCACTGGAATCTTAAAATGCCAACAGAGTCACCCGTGGTGGACAGGTTTCAGATGAGTTTCCAGATGAAGACGGACAAGGAAGGAGTGACGAATTACTTCCTTATATTTAGCTCTGAAAACCTTATATGAATAGCAGAGAAACACTTTCACAGTTTGTGGTTAAGTGCCGTTGTCGAGTCAGTTCTGACCTATAGTGACCCTATATAGGGTTTCCGAGGAGCAGCTGGTGAGCTTGAACCGCCGACCTTGTAGTTCAAACGGCTTTGCAGTCTGGCACATTAACCCACAGGGCCACACTAGAACTCCAAGTTTAGGAAGCTAGAAATCCAAATTCAGAGTGCTGGCTCTAGGGAAAGACTTTCTGTTTGTCAGCTCTGGAGAAAGGTAGCTGTTTCCTTTTAGCATCTGTAGACCCAACATTCCTTGGATATCCTGATAGCTTGGCATCAGTCTTCCTCTGGATCAAATTGGTGAGGTAGGTGAGGAGAAGTTTCTCATCAGAACTTATCCTGCTCCATCTCTGAATCTATGCTGGTGGTACCTAACCAGGGTTCTGTCCACTTCCAGAGGTCCTTGAGGTCCTGAGACTGCTTAGGTACAGTCCTGCTTAAGACTTTGCTGTATCATCTGCCAGTTTTCCCACCTTCTCCATTCCAACCCCTCTTCCCCAGCAGGAAGGCTTGTCACTGAGACTTCCGTATATATTGGTCAACTGTTAAGGCCTGAGTTCTGTGGAAACTTAGCCACACTCAGCTTTGGGTCTTTCCTTTTTTAAGGACCACTAGTTGCAATCCTGATGTGGTGCAATAGGGTCAGCACTGGACTGCTAATCACAAGGTCGGTGATTAGCACTAGCCACTCACTAGCCACTCCTTGGAAACCCTATAACAAGAAAAACAAATGGTTCTTTTAGTTAGGCATTGGGCTGCTGACCACTATGTCAGTGGCTCAGACCCTCAGAAACCCTGTATAGGGTAGCTATGACGCAGAATCAACTTGAGAGTGGGGTTAGTTTGTGTTTTTGTTGGTTCCATGGTAGAGCCCCAGTTGGAGGTGACAAGTTGCTCTCAGTGAGCCTGAGGTCTGTCTCTGGCTTTGAGGGGCTTGTCAGTTGAGCTTTCCCTGAGACTAGCCTTCTAGGTGCCTGGACCAGGTTGATCTGCCCCTGCCTGCTCCTTGCTTCATCCAACTCCTGGCCACTTTCCTGCATAGGCCTCATTCTCTACCCAGTCACTTCTTTTATACCTGTGGGACTTGGGGACTGTCCTCACATAGAGACAACCTCCTGGATTGTCATTATTTAACTGATGAGAATAATGAATGAAAAAAGGAGGGGCCCCATTAAATGGACAAGAGTATCTGTTTCATCTCCTGTCATGGGCACCCACACAGAGCCAACCACTGTCATCCTGGTCCCTCATTGGCAGGCACTGTATTCTTTCTGTGGCCCTTGAGGTCTCTCTGAGTGTACCCTCCCTTCTTTCAGATATGGCCTGGCTCGGCTGCTTCTGGTGCTCTCTTCCCTCACCTAGGGCTGAGGAGGTCCTCACAGCCACACATACTTCTCAGCCTTGCTCCGTTGGGCCTGGTGCTTCCCAAACCTCACCTTGTTCCCTTTAGCCCTCCTGCACTGTGGGCCTGACTCACAGGTGGGGTGGGTCTCTCTGCACTGTTGCTGTTGTATCTGCCTGTGAGGCAGCTCCCAAAGGCAGAACTCCCTGGCTGAGCATCCACAGTGGCCCCTTCTCACCCACTGCCTGTGTTGGCCTTGATTAGAGTGGACAGCACTGTTGTGAGCAGTCATGTTATGACCTCTCTATCCCTTCCCCAATTATTTTTCTCCAGAGGTCACTCAGCAAACAGGAAGCAACAAGCTGGCATTGGGTAGGTCCTGCAGAGCAATGCAGGATGTCACAGGCAGGCTTTCCTGCTGGACTGGTCCTTGGTGGTGATGGTCCAGTTGTGGGACTCTCATGATGACTCCCCCCCCCCCCCCCCCCCCCCCCCCCCCCCCCCCCCCCCCCCCCCCCCCCCCCCCCCCCCCCCCCCCCCCCCCCCCCCCCCCCCAGAGCCTGAGCCTGAGCCCGGAGCCCTGGAGAAGCCTGGACGCAGGGAGCCTCTGATGGTCAAGGAACATGAGGACATCATCCTGACAGCGGTGTTGGCTGCACCATCTGTGGCTGCTGTGACGTGGTTCAAAGACGGTGTGGAGATTCGCCGTAGCAAGCGTCAGGAGACGGTCAGCCTGGGGGACACCCACACCCTAACGGTACATGGTGCCCAGACCCTGGACAGCGCCATATACAGCTGCCGTGTAGGAGACCGGCGGCAGGACTTCCCAGTCCAAGTGGAAGGTGAGCCATGTGGAGTGTGGTCAGCCCCAGCTTGCTCCACCACCCAGACCCAGCCCAAACCCTGTGGGACCTCTCAGGCTCTGACTCCTCCGGGACGTTGCACCTTTAGTTGGCCTTGTGTGCGGCCTCCAGCTGATGTCTGTCTTGCCCATACAGAGGTGGGCACCCGATTCACTCGGGCCCTTGAGCCAGTGAGCGGCAAACTGGGAGGCAAGGTCGTGCTGGTCTGTGAGCTGAGCCCTGAGCAGGCTGAGGTGGTATGGCGCTGTGGCAGTACTCAGCTGCGGGCTGGCAAGCGCTTCCAGATGGAGGCCATGGGGCCGCTGCGCTCCCTCACCATCACGGGTCTGAGGGAAGAAGATGCAGGCGAGTACGTGTGCGAAAGCCGAAATGACAGCACCAGTGCCAGACTCTCCGTCCATGGTATGTGCAGCAACCCCCACCACGCTGTTCCTCCTAACACTTCTGGGCAGGCCATTTGTAGGGGTGCTAACCTTTGGGCCGCTGCCTGCTGGCTGCTCTGCCCATCCCTCTTCACCCCTTCCCTTCCAACCCTCCCCTGCTCTGCTCCTCCACTTTTCTCCCTGCTATCCTCCTTACCTGTCCTGCCCCACTCCTCAAGCTGAGCACCTCTCTGCAGTTCCTCGTATGGTGAAGTTCACATCTGGACTGAGCGGAGTGGTCACAGAGGAGGGTCAGGAGGCCACCTTCCAGTGTGTAGTGTCCCCCAGCGATGCTACAGTCACCTGGTACCGGGATGGCATCCTGCTACAGGCCAGTGAGAAGTTTCTGATATCAGAGAGCGGCGCCAGTCACAGCCTGACCATCACTGGCCTGGCCCTGGAGGATGCAGGCCAGATCACTGCAGAGGCTGAGAGCGTGACCTCGGTGGCAACCCTCAGGGTTCGAGGTGAGAGGTGGCCACAGAGCTCAGACCTGTGTCCAGGCTGCCTGACTGGCCTTAGGGGAGACACATGGAATTGTTGGCCTAGAGGGAGGAGCATGTTCAGGGTAGGCCTGAGAGGCCCAGGGGAGAAGGTAAATCCTGTCTGTCCACCTGGAGGAGGCATCTGTGGAGTCTGAGCAGTCCAAAGAGGTTTCCTCATTGAGTAGATGGATGATGAGGTTCAGGTGGTTTGGCCCAGAGGCAGGAATGAGCTCAATGTGCAGGAAGCAGGAAAGGCTGGGTCTGGCTGAGAGCAGAGGTGTGGAGGAAGAGCAGAAATGAGGCACATAGGCTGACCCCAGATGGGGGCGCAGGGTTCACTATAGGATTGCAGGGGAGTACTCCATGGTAGGCTCTGAGTAAGAGAGTGATGTGCACAGGAGGGAGGCCTGTGAGTCCCTAGGACCTTGTTAACATACAGGTTGGGGTACAGCATGTCTGGGTGGGCCTGAGGATCTGTGTGTATGATGGCATGCAGGCATCAAGGGAAGGAACAGCTGTTCAGAGCAGGGCAGCATGCAGTAGAGAGGAACCTGCTTCCTCATATGAAAAGTTCATGTGCATGGCTGTGGCCTGATGTGACCAGGGCCAGGGCTGGAGTTCTCAGCCACACACAACTTGGAGTAGGACTGTGGGCAGCTGGAGAGGGGCCTGAGCTGACCCACTGTGCCCTAGCTTTCCCAAGCAGGGGATGGCTGTGATGACTCTTCCCCTCATATCATCTTCCCTGACTCCCCACCACCCCAGAAGCCCCAGTGCTGTTCAAAAAGAAGCTGGAGTCACAGACGGTAGAGGAACGGGGCTCGGTAACAATGGAGGTGGAGCTGTCCCGGCCATGGCCGGCTGTCAACTGGACTCGGAATGCAGCTACCGTAGTGCCTAGTGAGAATGTGCAGATCCACGCTGAAGGCGTACACCACCGCCTGGTTCTGCACAACGTCAGCTTCTCTGACAGAGGCTTCTTCGGCTGTGAGACACCTGATGACAAGACACAGGCTAAGCTCAATGTGGAGAGTGAGTGTGGCAGGGCAGGTGGAGGGGCAGGGCCAGCCTGGGCCAGCCTGGTCCTGCACATGGTCCTTGGGGAGGTGGACCTCAGAAACAGGCCTCTTGGTTTTTTATCTCCATATCTGCACTGATTTGAGTGTACAGTGGCTTACTCCAACCCCATATGCACTGTCCCCCCAGTGCGCCAGGTCCGGCTCGTGCGCGGCCTGCAGATGGTGGAGGCTCGAGAGCAGAGCAGGGCTGTCATGAAGGTGGAGCTGTCTCATGCAGATGTGCAGGGCAACTGGACACGTGATGGGCTTCGGCTCCAGCCCGGGCCCTCTTGCAACCTGACTGTGAATGGCCCCACCCATACGCTTACGCTCTCTGAGCTTCGACTGGAGGACAGCGGCCTTATCGCCTTCAAGGCTGAGGGTGTGCACACATCTGCAAGGCTCCTAGTCACTGGTGCGTGACCCTGGAATCTCCCATGTGTGAGGGGTAGGGGGTCACTGGTAATGGGGCCTGTGTTCCCCATTTTGGAGTTCCTTCTTGGAGCCTGCTTAGCAACTAGGTCCAGCTAAGGCCTGACCCTCCTGCCTCCCCAGAGCTTCCTGTGAAGTTCAGCCGCCCACTGCAGGACGTGGTAGCCATTGAGAAGGAGAAGGTGACCTTTGAGTGTGAGCTGTCACGCCCCAATGTTGATGTGCGCTGGCTGAAGGTACCTGTTGCCCACCCCAGGACTCTGCACCCTACATGGTAGCCCAACTTGGGCGCCTGATCCGATCTGTCCCTCCACAGGATGATATGGAGCTGAGGGTGGACAAGAGTGTGGGCATCTCAGCCCAGGGAGCCTGTAGGAGTCTCATCATTTACCGATGTGAGCTCGGGGACCAGGGTGTCTACATGTGCGATGCCCGTGACGCCCAGACCTCTGCCTCCCTCAAGGTGCAAGGTGAGGGTGGATGCAAGGTAAGGGTGGTGCTGGGGTGAGAGGCAGGACTGGACGAGGGTGAGTGAGTGCTGTTCCCGCTCTGCCAGTAGCCCTCAACCAGCTGGGTGCAGGGGACTAGGGAACGAGCCCTGTGTCTGAGTGTGTCAGGGCCTTGCCTGCTGCCCCAGGTCGTGACATCCAGATTGTGAAGCCCCTGGAGGATGTGGAGGTGATGGAGAAGGAGGGCGCCACCTTCTCCTGTGAGGTCTCCCATGAAGAAGTGCCCGGTCAGTGGTTCCGGGAGGGCAGTAAGCTGCGGCCCAGTGATAATGTTCGCATCCGACAGGAAGGTATGCTGCCTGGACCCTTGTCTCCTTGCCCCTTCCTCACCTAGTCCACAGGGAGAGGCTGTCCCCGCTGTGCTCTCACCTGTGTCCCCTCTTCAGTACTGTGTGCTCTTCATGCCCAGGAAGGACGTACACTCTGATCTATCGGAGAGTCCTGGCAGAAGATGCAGGGGAGATCAGATTTGTGGCTGAAAGTGCAGAGTCGCGAGCACAGCTCCGGGTGAAAGGTGAGGGGCAGTTGAAAAAGGGTGTTGGTTGGATAGCATGTGTGCACACACACACATGCATGTTGTCTTCATGTGCCTGCATGGTGGGTGTGTAAAGTGTGTGTGCACACATGATTGTGTTGAACAAATGTGTGTTCAGGCCCTCGTGTGGCCGAATGGTGTATGTCCATGATGGTGTGTGCATGTGTCTCTGTGTGCATGTGCTTGTGTGTCTCTGTGTGTACAACCATGCTTGTGAGTGCACAAGTGTGCCTGTGTGTCTTCATGTGTATGTGTTTGTCTATATGTGAGTATCTGTGTGTATGACATATGCTTGGTGTGCACTTGTGAACACATGTATGTGCAGACTCTCATGGAGCCAATGGTGTGTGTGAGTACATGTGTGTCTCTTTCTGTGTGCATGGTGTATGTGTGTGTACATGACCTATGTGCATACATTGTGGGTTGGTGTGCATGTGCAGAGCCTCAGGGGGAGGGCGTCAGCAGCAGGAAGACCACCCTGTGGGTGGGAGGTTGTCCTTCTTCTTTAGTCTGGAGGGACTTGAGTGGGTCACTCTCCTAGAGTCCCTGATAACAATCAGGAGGGAAGCTGCACTGATGCAGGGTGGGGTGGGCAGGTTTAAACAAAAAGTGGGTAAGAACTCGAGGCAGGGATCAGCCCTTGGCTGGCCCATGTCAGGGTGGATCACCAGCCCTGATCTACTTGGCCTTGCTGCAGAATTCCCTGTTACTATTGTACGCCCGCTTCGGGACAAGATCGCCATGGAACGGCGCCGGGGTGTGCTGGAGTGCCAGGTGTCACGGGCTAGTGCCCAGGTGCGCTGGTTCAAGGGTGGCGTAGAGCTGCATCCCGGGCCCAGGTATGAGATGGTCAGTGATGGGCTGTACCGAAAGCTGATCATCGCCAGTGTCCAGCCCGAAGATGAGGATACCTACACGTGTGATGCTGGTGATGTCAAGACCACTGCCCAGTTCTTCGTGGAAGGTGTGGGGCTGGCTTGGGTAGGAGCTAGACTGCGGTGATTGCTTCTTGTGTTACTGCCTGCATCTGCAGAGGGGTGATGTGTGTCTTGGTGGCCACCAAGGAGGTGTTTGTATTTTGGGGTGGTTGCTCCAGAATGAGCCGGTGGGCTACTCTGTGGGTGGCTGGCTTGGTGTGTGTGTGGTTTGCTCCCAGGACAGAGACAGCTTCCTTGGTTGTGAAGTCCCAGAGGAGATGGTGGGGTGACCCCTGTAGGGCCAGACTATGACTGAACCCTGTTCCACAGAGCAATCCATCACCATCGTGAGGGGCCTGCAGGATGTGACTGTGATGGAGCCCGCCCCCGCCTGGTTTGAGTGTGAGACCTCCATCCCCTCCGTGCGGCCGCCCAAGTGGCTCCTGGGCAAGACACCATTGCAGGCAGGGGCAGATGTGGGACTGGAACAGGAAGGCACCGTGCACCGCCTGGTGCTGCGGCGCACCTGCTCCACTATGACGGGGCCTGTGCACTTCACCATCGGCAAGGCCCGTTCCTCCGCCCACCTCGTCGTCTCAGGTGACTGCTCACCCAATGGGCTTCCTGGGTGGGGCCTTGTCCTCTCAAGTGACCACTGCCACTGCTGGGAGTGGGCTGTCTGTTGGCACCCTCCCTCCCAGCGTTGTGCTCCCCCCCTCAGATATCCCTATGGTGCTGACACGGCCGCTGGAGCCCAAGGCTGGGCGGGAACTGCAGTCCGTGATACTGTCTTGTGACTTCCGGCCACCCCCCAAGGCTGTGCAATGGTACAAGGATGACACGCCTCTCACACCCTCCGACAAATTCAGGATGACTCTGGAAGGCCACATGGCAGAACTACGTATCTCGCGACTTACATCTGCTGATGGTGGTGTCTACCGGTGCCAGGCAGGCAGTGCTCAGACCAGCGCATTGGTCACTGTAGAGGGTATGGCAAGGGGATGGGGGGCAGTAGCTGGTGTCATGGGCAATGGGCAGGCTCTGAAAGGTCTCTGTTTCTGCAGCTCGGGAAGTGAAGGTGACGCAGCCCCCGAAGGACTTGGAGGCCACAGAGGAGGGCTGCGCCTGTTTTTCATGTGAGCTGTCTCATGAAGAAGAGGAGGTGGAATGGTCACTCAACGGGACACCCCTGTACAATGACAGCTTTCACGAGATCTCCCACGAGGGCTGCCGTCACACACTGATGCTGAAGCGTGTTCGTCAGGAAGACTCAGGCACTGTGCGCCTCACCTCTGCCAAAGTCACTGCCTCCGCCCGCCTGCAGGTCAGAGGTGAGTGTTGGCCCTGGGGACCTGGGGGACGAGGTGCTCAGGCAGCCTGCTCACCTCATTCCCTATCCCCACCCCACCCCCTAGCAAAGCCTGTGGTCTTCCTGAAAGCACTGGATGATGTGTCAGCAGAGGAGCGGGGCACACTGGCCCTGCAGTGCGAGGTTTCAGATCCCAAAGCCCGTGTGGTGTGGCGCAAGGATGGTGTGGAGCTGGGCCCTGGGGACAAGTATGATTTCCTGCACACAGGAGCCACACGGGGGCTCGTGGTGCATGTCCTGAGCCAGGACGACGCAGGCTTGTACACTTGCCACGTGGGCACTGAGGAGACCCGATCCCGGGTCAGAGTGCACGGTATGTAGCCACTTCTGGGGCTCTGGAAGGGGGCGGAGCACCACCTTGAGGGGTCACCACTCCACAGGGCTGAGGATCTGGCTTCCTGGAGAGTCAGGGTGTGATGTGGTCTGAATTCAGCCTGGACTTAGAGTCAGGGAGCAAGCTGAGGTTGGATCACCTATTGGCTGCAGGAAGGGAACAAAGGGTTGCAGGTAGCTGGATTCTACCTGATAGAGTATGCAGGGGAAGGGGGATTCCACAGAAGATGAGGACGCAGCTTTGCATGGAAGGACTGGGCAGAATCAGGGCAAAGTGGAGTTTGTAGGTAGTCAGAGAGGCCTCCTGGTGGGGAGTGGTACCGCAGTACCCAGGGAACGGTGTGGGGAGAGGTCTGCAAGCAGGTTCCATTCTTGTTCCCATGGAGTCTCTGAAAGGCTGAGCAACAGTGGGCAGAGCAACCCCTCCCGGCCCTGTGACTTGGCTTCTGGCCCCCATGGGTGTGCGGCGCCTCTGAGCATGTCTGCCATCTGGGGCCTGGCCCTAGACAAGGAAATAGCCACCTGTCTTAAGCATGTGTACCTGGTATCTGGCACTTTCAGTGCATCTCGGCTTCCCAAAGTGCCCTGGTCATCATGGGCCCAGGGCATACTGTTTGTGAGGACACAGGGAAGGAGAGGGTGGTGTTGGAAGTATGTCCCAGGACTGAACTTGCCTGTCACTTAGGACCTCATCTTTCCTTTCCTGTGACCACAGATGGTACTTATTTTTCCATGTTCTCCACCTTCCTCTGTAGCAGATAGAAAGTCAGCTACCTCGTTAGACCTAGCCACCAGGATGGCCAGACTGAAACCCAGGAGACATCCCTGAGGGGATGTAGGCATGGCAAGAGCAGCCCTGCTTTGGGAGTGTGGGATGCTCTGTGACAATTGCATTTCTTCCAGTTTAGCGGTGCTTTCTCAGGGACCATATGCTGGCCTGGTCACTGACGGCTATCCCTCCCAACTCTCCCCTTTACCTCCCAAAGATTTGCACGTGGGCATCACCAAAAGGCTCAAGACAGCAGAGGTGCTGGAGGGTGAGAATTGCAGCTTTGAGTGCGTCCTGTCCCATGAGAATGACAGCGAGTCGGCCATCTGGACTGTTGGTGGGAAGACAGTGGGCAGCTCCGGTCACTTTCGGACAGGGCGCCAGGGTCGCACATACACCCTGGTTGTTCAGGCTGCTGCACTGAGTGACGCGGGAGAGGTGGTGTTCTCTATAGGAGGCCTCACCTCCAAGGCCTCGCTGGTGGTCAAAGGTGGGCACACAGGTTGGGGGTGGTCACTGTGGGCTACTGGCTGCCCAAGCTGGTCCTTCTCAGGTTTGGGGCCTTGTAATATAGGAGCATTGAGATGCTCCCAACTATCTATCCCACAGAACCTTAGTTAGCACCCCCAAGATTGTGGGACCCAAGGCTACCTGTGGCGGATATGGGGGCCACCACTCTAAAGTAATTTTTCCAATTCTGGGGAAGGGCCAGAATTTTTTATTTGATCTGTGGCCCAGTGTCACATAGGAACGCCCACTGTATGCAGCCTCATAGCGCTTTGGCCATGCCCTGAAAGATAGAGTTAGATAGGTGCCCAGAGTGTAAGACTCGGTGTCATGCTCTATGCTCCCCAGGTACTGTACTGGGATAGTCTGCACTTCTGGCCTTCTGGGATCCAAGGCTCCTGGGCAGAGGTCTCCAAGGGTTAGGGCTGCAAGGTCTTTGTTTTTAGTCACTATGGTCTGGGTACCTGTCCTGCCCCTCCCTGGACATGGCTGGCTCACTGCAGCCTCACAGGATATGTGTCTTTCCCTCCAGAGAGACCAGTGGGCATCACAAAAGCCCTGGAGGACCAGCAGGTGACACTGGGGGAAGACGTGGTGTTGAGCTGTGAGCTCTCCCAGGCGGGCACCTCAGTGCGCTGGCTGAAGGATGGCAAGGCCATACGCAAGAGTCAGAAGTACGACATTCGCAGTGAGGGCACTCGGGCCTTGCTGGTTGTCCGAGCAGCTACACTCAAAGACTCGGGGGAGTATGCATGCGAGACAGAGGCCTCCAAGAGCACGGCTAGACTCCATGTGGAAGGTGATGGCAGGGCAGGGCAGGGCCCAGGGTCCACCTTGTCCTGAGCTTGCTCCTTTGCTCAAGCGGGAAACAAGGCTGGTGTGGTGGGGGAGGCTACCCAGGCATGGGGACTCTGGTATAGGCTTCCTTCTGTCCAACAGCACCCATGGTAGAGTGTGTCCCCTCTTCCCCCAGAAAGAGCAAACTGCTTCACCAAGGAGCTGACTGATGTGCAGGCTGAAGAGAAGGGTTCAGCTGTGTTTGAGTGTGAGACGGAGCGTCCTGCGACCTCGGTGACCTGGCGCAGGGGCCTGGTGGAGCTGCGCGCCTCACGCAAACATGTGCCCAGCCAGGATGGTCTGGCCTTGAAGCTCACCATCAGTGCTCTGGAGCGATCGGACAGTGACACCTACACCTGTGACATTGGTCAGGCCCAGTCGCAGGCCAGACTCATAGTGCAAGGTGAGGCGCTGGCCTGGGTGAGCTGCAGGCTCACTATGTGCAGTTGCCAGTGTACCACTTGCATGCTCAGGTATCCAGGTTTTCTCAAAAGCAGAGCATGGAGCCCCAAGATGGCCCAGATATCAGGGCTTTGCCGGTGCGTGGTCCTGAACAACTCAGCTTTAGTATCCCCATTCATAAATGGAGGGAATTGTGCTGGGCATTCTGTGTAGATCATCTGGCTTCATTTTTTGGGACAAGTCCTTTGGGCCTCCTGTATTCATTCCCTCATGTGCTCAGTAAATGCTTAGAGCAGTAGTGCATGCCAACTCCATGCATGGGCTCTGCACATATGAGACACATAGGCTCACTGGCTGCTGTCGCTGCTATGGCTGATCCACTACAGAGCTGGGCCCGCTCTGTATGTCCCTAAAGCCCTTCCTTTTCTTTAGGAGACAGTTGGGTGATGTTCCCCACCATACTGTAGGGGCAAGGGGACATTCTCTTGTCCTAGAGGGGCAATCTGGCCCAAACATGCAGATGTACAAGAGCCAGGGGTGTGGAGGCTGTGGATTCAAAGAGCTGGCGGTCCATTTGATAACTTTCGACAATTGTGTGGCTTTTTGCCACCCACTGTTTTGCTTTCCCTGTTTGGCACTTTGTATCATGGGATGGTTTCACATCATCAGGCATGGACCACTGTTGTGTGTCTCAATTCTGACCATAGCAACCTTAAGGGGGCAGAGCAGAACTGTCCTGTAGGGTTTTTAGGCTTTATAACCACCACTGGTCTGTCAATTTTTTATACTGTGGTAGTTTGCATATTGCTGTGATGCCGGAAGCTAAGCCACCTGTATTTCAGATACAAACAGGGTCACCCATGGTTTTAGGCTAAAACATCTAGGAAGTAGGACCTGGGGATCTACTTCTGAAAAAGTGGCTCCTGGAAACCCTAGGGATAGCAGTGAAACATTGTCTGATATCATGCTGAAGATGAGTCCCTCAGGGTGGAAGGCACTCAAAATATGACTGCAGAAGAATTGCCTCCTCAAAGTAGAGTAAAGCTTGGGGGACATAAAAACAGGATTATACTCTAGAAATAGAAAGGAAATAGAGCAGAGGAATTGTAGGAAGAGATAATAGTACTGGCTGTTCTGATAGTTTCAACACCAGAATCTGAACCTGAACCTGAACCTGAACCTAAACCCAAACTGAACTTGAAACCAAACCTGAAGAATGTGATCTTAGGTGTTGTTGTTGCTGTTGTTGTTAGGTGCTGTAAAGTTGGTCCCAACTCAGTGACCCTATGCACAATGAAGGAAACATCGCGTGATTCTGCACCATCCTCACCATTGTGGTACTTGAGACCATTGTTGCAACCACTGAGTGCATCCCACATGAATTTAGAGATCATCTCCAGATTAGATTTGATGCATGGAATGAAGACTAGATGAATTGTGGGATGATATCAAGGACATCATACGTGAACAGAGCAAGTGGTCATTAAAAAGACAGGAAAGAAAGAAAATACTAAAATGGATGCCAGAAGAGACTCTTAAACTTGCTCATGAATGTAAAATAATTTAAACAAATACAAGAAATGATAAAAGAGCAAATTTCAAATGGCAGATTGAGAAGACAAGATAAAGTATTGTAATGAACCATGCAATAACCTGAAGTTAGAAAATCAGAAGGGAAGAACATACTTGGCATTTTTCAAGCTGAAAGGACTGAAGAAAATTTCAAACCTCAAGTTGCAATATTGAAGGATTCTATGGGCAAAAAATTGAATCCCAGAGGAAGCATCAAAAGAAAATGGGAAGAATAGACAGTCACTATACTGTGGCACTGTGGACTAATGCATCAGACTGCAAAGTTGTTTGAACTGCAAGGTTGGCAGTTCAAGCTCACCAGCTGCTCCTCGGAAACCCTATACAACAGGGTCACTATGGGTCAGAATTGACTCAACGGTACTTGACATACCGAAAAGAATTGCTTGATCATTTCAGGAGGTAGCAAATGATCAATAACCAGTGGTACTGAAAGAAGTCTAAGCTGCACTGAAGGCATTGGGGGAAAACAAGCTTCCAGGAATTAACAGAATGCCAACTGAGATATCTCATCAAACATCTGCAATAATGGAAGAGTTCACTTGTCTATGCCAAGAAATTTGGAAGACAGCTACTTGGCCAACTGACTGGTAGAGATCCATATTTATATCCATTCCACCAAAAGGTGACCCAGTAGAATGCGGAAATTAGTGAACAACATCATTACTATCTCATGTAAGTAAAATTTTGTTGAAGATAATTAAAAAAAAAAATGTTGGAGCTGTACACTGAGAGAGAACTGCCGAAAGTTCAAGCTAGATTCAGAAAAGGCGTTGGAATTAGGGATATCATTGCTGACGTCAGACGGATCTTGACTAAAAGCAGAGAATACCAGAAAGATGCTTAACTTGTTTTATCAAGTCTGTGAAGGTGTATAATTATGCAGATTGTAACAATTTATGTATAGCATTGTAAATAATGGGAATTATGGAACACTTACTTGTGCTCATGCGGCACCTGTACATAGACCAAGAGGCAAAACAAAGGGATACTATGTGGTTAAAATCATGAAAGGTATGAATCAAGATTATAGCCTCTTGCTCAATCTGTATGCTAGAAAAAATATCCAAGAAGCTGGACTATATGAGGAACCAGATGTTAGGATTGAAGGAAGACTCATTACAGACAACACAACCTTGTTTGTTGAACGCTAAGAGTACTTGAAGCACTTATTGCTGAAGATCAAAGATGCCAACCTTAAATATGACGTACATCTCAACATAAAGAAAACAAAATCCTTACAACGGGACCAATAAGCAACATCATGATAAACAGAGAAAAGATTGAAGTTGTCAAGGATCTCATTCATGTTGGATCTACAATCAAACCCGTGGAAGCAGTAATCAAGAGATCAAACGATGTATTACATTGAGCAAATGTGTGCAAAAGACTTGTTTAAAGTGTTAAAAAGCTAATCTGTCACCTTTAGGATGAAGGTGTGCCTGACTCAAGCTATGGTATTTTTAATTGTCCCATATGCATGCAATAGTTGACCGATGACTAAAGAAGACCAAAGAGTTGGTGCATTTTAATTATGGTTTAAGTGAAAAATATTGAATATACCATGGACTCTCAGAAGAATGAACCAATCTGTCTTGGAATATGTACAGCCAGATGTTCCTTAGAAGTGAGGATGGCGAGACTTTGTCTCACATACTTTGGACCTGTGATTAAGAGGGACCAGTCCTTGGAGAAGGCAATCATGCTTGCTAAAGTGGAGGATCAATGAAAGAGAGGAAGACCCTCAATGAAATGGACTGACAGAGTAGCTGCAACAATGGGTTCAAGCATAGTGACGACTGTGAGGATGGTATAGAAGTGGGCAGTGTTTCATTCTGTGTTTCATAGGGCCTCTATGAGTCAGAACTGATTGGACCTCACCTAATACTAACAACAATCTTCACAGGTGCAAATTGCCAGGTCTTTTCTCTTGAAAAGCAATTGATTGGTTTGAGTGATTAACTGCTACACCAGTAGGATCCTTTGAGAGTCACTCTCACCCCGTTTTATAGATAGGGGAACTGGAGCTTTCTGCCGGTCACTGACTGGCCAGGGTGACAGGTGTGCTGCTTCAGTGCAGGGTTTTGACAACCCCCTCCTGGCTGCAGCCTGTATCAGGCTGCTGAGTTCCAGAGACAGTGCCCAGGTGGTGTCAACTAGCAGTTACTCAGCGTTCTGCCCAGAACTCAGAAAACAACAGCATTCAGTGTCTGGAGAGGCCACAGTGATAATTAGCAGTGATAACAGCTTGGAAGCCTCACTTTCCCCCCATCATTGTACGAATGGGGCTTCAAAAAGTCTGTGAATAAATGGAATGAAAAGAAGATAAGGAATTTCTCCATGAACTTTTTGAAGGCCCCCTTGTACCTTTCTATTTAGAAAAAACACTTTTGTTAGCACAGTAAGAGCCCCCTTATTTAATTAAGTTAAAATTCATAATTAAAAAAATATCAGTTGAACCATGAAGCATAAAATAATGAAATATGCTTTTTAAAACATTTGTTGTTGTTGTTGTTAAGTGCCATCGAGTTGGTTCTGACCCATAGCGACCCTGAACAGGGTTTCCAAGGCTGTAAATCTTTATGGGAGCAGAAAGCCTCATCTTTCTGCCACGGAACAGCTGGTAGTTTCAAAATGCTGACCTTGCAGTTTGCAACCCAATTCGTAATCACTATGCTACCAGAGCTCCTTTTTAAACATTTAGAGCATTACAAATGCTCACCAGTCCAGTACTTGATGTGTTTGTGGACAAAAATTCCATGTATTTTTCATATAAACTATCCTTGTATTGCTACCATCTACATTTTCCAGCATCAGTTTCTTTAAAGTGGAGTAGTAACTTCAAGACATTTGTGAATGCAAAGGGAATCTGAATGCAGAATCTCATTATTTATCAATTCTTTTTCATCTTTTTGTATACCTAATTAAACAACAGGAGTCCTGGTGTGGCATTGTAGGATAAGCACAGGACTGCAAGTTCGGCTTAAACTGAAAGATTGGTGGTTCAAAGTCACCAGTCACTCCTAGGAAACCCTATACAGGGTCACTGAGTTGGAACTAACTTGATGGCTCTTAACAACAACAACAACAACAACAACAATTAAACAGCAAAGGTTTTCAAGCCTCCAAAGCATTTGGCTTAAATTTTAACATAGCCACAACTCTTTTTTTCATACTACCATTTCAGTTCTGATAGTGTAGTGGTTATGAGTTGGGCTGCTAACCTCAAGGTCAGCAGTTCAAAACTGCGAGCTCTTCTGCAAGAGAAATATGAGACTTTCTGCTCCTTTAAAGATTTACCGCCTCGGAAACCCTATACAGGATTGCTATGAGTTGGAATCAACTCCACAGCACATGATAAATCAATCATCAGTCATGTCATCTTTTAATGTAAAACTTAAATTTATAGCTATAATAACAAGCCCAATTGGCATGAACAGCTTGAGAACATGCAACATCTCTTGGTGAGCCCAGATCACTGGGGGCAGAGTAATAAGTGTGACCAGCGGGGTAGTTGCCCTACTCTCCTAGTATTGCAAGAACAGAGAGGTGGGTGGTGAGTCTGGGGTCCATAGGCTGACCTAAAATTATATTTAGAGCAACTCAGCTGTGATTCAAGTACTATTTTCTTGTTTTCTGAGTTTTGCCAACATGAACTTGTCAGATAGTCTCTCCAGCTCCTCGCGTGGGCCTCAGGTCTGGGTAATGCTGTTTCTCTGGGAAGGTGGCTGAGTCTACACTCACACAGGCTAGTACCCCTGACCTGCCTGTCTGTGCCCTCCCAGGCCAAAGTGTGCACATCATTGAAGAGCTGGAGGACATGGAGGTGCCGGAGGGTTCCTCAGCCACTTTCCGCTGCCGCATCTCCCCTGCCAATTATGAACCTGTCCACTGGTTCTTGGAAAAAACCCCGCTGCATGCCAACGAGCTCAATGAGATTGAGGTCCAGTCTGGGGGCTACCATGTGTTGACCCTGAGGCAGCTTACACTCAAGGACTCAGGCACTGTCCACTTCGAGGCAGGCGATCAGCGGGTCTCAGCCACATTGCAGATCACAGGTGTGTCATTTGTTCATAGCATAAGGACATGCCCTATACCATTGTTGGGGAAGAACAAGGCTCAGCATCCTGTTGGGGGGCAAAGACTCAAGAGGGCAGGCCACAGACAGCAGCTGGGTCACATGACAAGTGCTATCTGAGGCTCATGTTGAGGGCAAGAAGCTCTGATCCCTGGGATGTGAATTTATTAGGCAAGTTGGACTCTTTTAGGGTGGGCTTGTTGTCTTTGGTGTGCAGACTTCCTGAGTCCATGGCCAGCATGGTGTGAGCCATGCAGTGGCCACTCTAAACTGAGGGACAACACAGGTCTATTCTGTCCCCTTGCCAGTCCCTTCTGTGGCCATAGCCAGAGGAGAGATATGGCACTGGTCTGGCATGGTGGCTGGCATGGTGGCACAATGCCCATGCAGTTTGCCTCTCTTCCCTGACCCCCAGAGAAACCAAGCATCTTCTCCCGGGAGCTCACTGATGTCACAGTCCTTGAGGGGGATGACCTGACTCTTGTTTGTGAGACTACCATACCTGACAGCCCCGTGAACTGGACCAAGGATGGGAAGACCCTACGGCCCTCAGCCCGTTGCCAGCTGAGTTATGAGGACTGCCAGGCGCGGTTGGTCATCACAGACACCACCATGCAGGACGGTGGGCGCTACAAGTGTGAGGCAGGAGGCACCTGGAGCAACTCCATTGTCAGGGTCCAAGGTGAGCCTGGGCAGGAGGGTGGGGCAGCGCCTGGCCACACTCCAAGTGCCTCTGATTCTCAGGCACATGTAGGGTAGGGCTGGCACTCGAGGAGGAAGTCTTCCTGTCTCCACCCACCTGAGTGTGGGCTCTGACCTGGCGTCATCCCTTCCCTGTCTCTACCAATCTTTGCCTTAGCTCCATCCTGTTCCCTCCCTATGTCTGCTGTCTTTGCCCTGCATCTGCTCCTTTCTCATCTTGTTTTTGTGCTTGCCCTGTTTTTGTGTTTCCAGCTCATTCCCCACCCCCCACCCCATCCCCCGTCTCTGCCTCATATATGCTCCTCTGAGCGTGAGGCCCCTCTGAGTGTGGAGTCTAATTCCTCCGGCTCCGTCTCCACCTGGTCCCTACTCCGTTTCCACCCATCTGAGCATAGGGCCGACTTCTCAGCAGCCCTGGTTCACTGTGCTCCTCCCTATCTCTGGTTTTCTGCTCTATTTCTTGCTTCTTGTGTCCTCCTCCCCACTGCCATCTTCTGCTACCCCCATGTCTTCTGCTCTTCTGGTCTTCATGGCTGGCCTTCCTTTTCTCCTGCTGCTGCCTGCCCACCCGGTTTTCTCACCCCATATGTCCACCCTTGGGATGGGAGGGGCCCAGCGGAGTGTCAGTATAGATTTACAAGCTGAGGCCTGCCTGTCCACAGCACGGCCAGTGCAGTTCCGGGAAGGGCTGAAGGACATGGAGATGCTGGAGGGCGGTGCTGCCACACTGCGCTGTGTGCTGTCCACTGTGGCGGCGCCGGTGGAGTGGCGCTACAGGGACGAGGTCCTACAGCCAGGCAGCAAGTATGGCCTGCGGCAGGAGGGAGCCATGCTGGAGCTGGTGGTGCGTGACCTGCAGCCCAAGGACAGTGGGCAGTACTCATGCTCCTTTGGGGACCAGATGACTGTGGCCACACTCACCGTGAAGGGTAACATTCTGCCCATCTGCCCTCACATCTCACGAGCCCCTTTCCTTCAGTATCCATACTAAAGGTGGTGTGCCTGTGTCCATTTGACCTTTTTTTCCCAGCCCTGCCTGCCCAGTTCATAGGAAAACTGAGAAGCAAGGAGGCCACGGAAGGGGCCACAGCTATGCTTCGGTGTGAGTTGAGCAAGGCAGCTCCTGTGGAGTGGAGGAAGGGCCTTGAGACCCTCAACACTGGGGGCAGATACAGCCTGAAGCAGAACGGGGCCACGTGTGAGCTGGAGATTCGTGGTCTGACTGTGGTGGATGCTGGGGAGTACTCATGTGTGTGTGGGCAGGAGAAGACCTCAGCCACACTGACTGTGAGGGGTAAGGACTGAATGTGGTCACACATACCAGTGGCATGGCGTTCAGTTGTCGATTTTATGCCATCCATCCACACTCACATTGCATTGTCTCCTTGCTTCCAGACAGCCTCTTCCCATGTTGTGATTGAGAGTTGATGTTGAGTTGACCCTGGCTCATGCAGACCTTACATATAACATTGCCAGGTCCTCTGTTGCCTTCACAATCATTGTAGCGATTGTGTCAACCCATCTCACAGAGGGGTTCCCTCATTTATGATAATCCTCTATCAACCATGATGTCTTTTTCTAGTAATTGGTCTTTCCCGATGATGTGTTCAAAATTAGTGAGCCAAACTCTCGGCATCTTTGTTCTGGAAGTCTACAGTATATTCAATATTCTTCAACAACATTACTATTCAAATGTGTCAATTCTTTTTTATTGTCCAGTTTTGGCATGCATATGAGGCGATTGAAAAGAATATGGCTCGACTCAGATGCACCTTAGTACTTAAAGTGACATCTTTTCTTTTTAATAATTTAAAGAAGCCTTTTATAATAGATTTCCCCAGTGCAATACGTCTTTTGAATTCTTGACTGCTGCTGCCATGCACTTTGACTATTGATCCAAGTAGAATGAAATTCTTGATAACTTCAGTTTCTTTACCATTTATTATGATGTTGTTTACCAGTCCATTTGTGAGGATTTTTGGTTTCTTTATGTTCTTAATGCTTCCTATGTCATTTGTTGTTAAGTTCCAACTCATACAACTTTGTATATGGTTCCCAGGGAGTAACTAGTAAGTTTGAACTACCGACCTTGCAGTCCAGTGCTTTATACCACACCACCACACCGGAGCGGCTGGTAGTTTCGAACCGCTGA